TATATATATATATATATATATATATATATATATATGGATAATTCCATATGCAGTGCATCAGCTTTCCCCAAGTTTTCTTGCATGTGCATATGTGTACATGTGTGTTTAACGGGATTTAATGGAAGCCTATGAAAAGGACAGGTTCCCTAGAGGTGATGGTGCTTCTCACTCGCCTTGATTTTAAGTCCCTCCTTTCTGTCCCTCATCCAGAACTCATTACATGACCTATTGGTCACTGCCATCATGAATCTACTTTCTGCACAATTAGTGGAAATGGCAAAATTAGTATTTCCTTCTTTGCTAAGGTATACACTCCATGGACAATGGCTAAATTATGACCTCCTAAAATGATTCAGGAGGAGCCCTGGTATTCAGTGATTAAAGTGGTTGACTGCTAACCTGAATATTGATTCAGACTCACTGTGGAACGTATCAAAAGCTTCCCACATTTCACACACACACAGGGGGAAAATAGTTGAATAAAGAGTTAAAGTTAAGACTGTGTTCAGAAAGGACAGGGGCACATGCTTTGGAACTGACCTTAATGGCTCCCGAAAGGTGCCCTAGTTACTAGATGAAATACCTTTGTAGGTACAAAAACTTGGAGATTGAGGTGTTGGAACCTGAAATGTCCTTGTCTCCACCATTTGCTTATTTCTGGAATTTTTTTCTCTATTCATTCTTAAATATCATAACTGATTTCTGCTCACCACAAGATATAGTAAGCTTATATAGAAATGAATATATTGTTCAATAAAGTAAAGATGGGAACCACAATTGATCTGTCTCTCCCTTGATTGTCAACCAATGACCAATGTACCTAGCCCTGGTTCTTCAAACTTGAATAGCACCTACTACCTCTAAATTTTCCTGCTCAGAGAGGGGAAAGTGTTCTTGAGAATTTGGGACCAATTTGGCTTAGAAAATCCTTGTAGGAGGCCTTGACTCTCTTTCTGAAAAGTGTGTTCTTTAGATAGAAGCAAAATGCCCCCTTTCCCCTTTTAATTTTCTTGTTCCTCCTTACACCCAATCATAAAACATTTAATAGCTGCCTGGTGAAAATGATTTATGTAAAAATCCCATTCGTGTCATTCTACAGTGTGATTAGAAGGATGTTTCCCAACAAGCTTTACTAACTTTAATCTTCTACCCCTTCAATCTACATATAATCATTTCCTCACATACTGTGATTTGATATTTTTTTTAAAGAGACTTATACACCTTGCCAGTACATAGAATCTTAAAACACATTTAAGCCAAAATTAATGTAGTTTTGCCAGGTATATGAAGTGATTCCTGCATTCCAGTCAGAAGTGACTTATGGACTGTTAGCATTGCGGTCCATGAAGGTTTGGCTTTGATTTGTGTGTGCCCACGAATCGTCTCCACAGAGAAAATGTACACAGGTAGCATTTCCTTTTATGTTTTTCATCAAACGGCTTCCCGGTGACAGAGGGAAAGGTATGAAAGTTGTTAGGAAAAACATTCTCTATTACCAAGAGGTGCTTTCTTCAGAAGCCAGAGGCATGTGTGCACTGTGAAGGGAATACTTAATTAAACTGCTGCTAGAGAATGCCGATCAGCTAATCAGAGTCTTTGCAAAGCCTCCTCTGCCTCATACAAACAAAATGGACTACAAGGAACTGCTCATAAGTTATTTTGACATAGAAATAAGGGACCTTTGATCCTAAAATATAAGACAATCCAAGCTCACCCTTGGGACTGGTCTTAGATTGTTTATGGGATCTGAGAAATCTTGCTTCAGATTCCTTCAGGGCCTCAAGTCTGGCAGCCGGGCCCCTGCCAGAAGTCCCCCTGCCACAAAATCTATGTAGTGAGAGCTTTATCTTTCAGCCATTATTAAGATGATATGAACTCTGTTCCATAATTATTAATGATGATCATTTAAGAGATTTATTTATCAATTATCTTTATGACTCAAGAGCTACTTGTAAGAGAGTGGGGAGTCACAGCAAATGCCACATTTTGCTATTCACTCACTCACTCACTGTGGCAGTCACATAATCTGTTGTCAATTTAAGACGTCAGAGTGAAGGGGTGGAGTTTAGCCTGTCAATCAGGTCGCAGCTTGATGACTGCATCTGGAGGCACTAAGGAGATGAATAGCTCGTTGGAGGCGGGACACACGCTCACTCCCTGGGAGGCATTGCTGTGGGGCTGTGGCCACAGCTATGTGGAGCTATTTCACATGGAGCTACGCCAGCACCATGACAACACGGAGCACTCATTTTGATGGCAGCATCTTAGTGTCTTCCTCAGTCCTGGAATGAGTCTTTGATTTGTGGTATTAGAGCCCCCGGTGAATGAATTCTGCCTTTCCCTTTTGATAGATCTGCCAGGTACCAAAGCCACAGTGCACAGTGGAGCATGTGTGGGAAACATACACAAAAGCAATGCGCCCCCCCTGAAAATGCCTTCCCCGAGCACGGGGAGTTTCTGCGGTGCCATTGGCAGGACATTGAGAGTCCGTGGACTTCAAGCTTTGACTAGAGCCCCTCATTGCCTTGATTTAAAGGCCCCCCTCTCAGTTCTTTATGGAGTGTTTAGGGTTTCTTATGGGCCTCGTAGGAGTCACAAGAACCTTTACTCCTTAACTGTACACCTTGATGGTGTCATTGAAGCTGTTTTGCTGCTGTAATTTCTGCCTAATGTTACAATTTTAGTCAAGTCTTCTTTCCCTCTGGAAGCATTAATTATTGCCAGTTTTGAAAAGACCCCTGTGTGTGTATATTTCTGGTTCCAATCCCAAATCATGTTATCTTCTCCTCTTCTTCCTCTAGAGACATGAATTGCTCACCTTTTCCCCTTACTCTTCCGTATACACCATGCACGCCCTTTTAACCCCCGCAGTGTAAGTTAGTGTCTTTGCCTGCCAGTTAGCAAGTCAGCATTCTTGAGAGTTCCACATAGTTCACCAATTTGCAGTACATGTCTCAGAATAATGGATTTAAACTTCACTTTATTTGCTATTAGCTGTGAAGTTATTGGCCACTGGAGCTTATGATAGTCCTCAATTGCTATAGATTTACCTGTGGTTTATAGCATATCATTAAAATAAATGGCTATTAGCCAGTGACAAGCACTTCGCTGAAATACAAAATTAAAACAGGATTGCTTCTTCAAATATATCAGTATTCAGGAAAAATATTCTGTGGTTTCAAGTTAATGATTTTTTTGTGCTTTAGTTAGTATCGAGACAATTTCAAATCTAAATTACATGGATGTTTTATTGATAAACTTCTTTCCACTCATACACATAGACACAACACCTTTTGCCATAGAAGAAAGACTACTTAATTGCATAGGACTATATAAAAGATGGAATATTTCCAGATAAGAGCAATCATCCTTCAAGTACGGTTCCTGAAGGACCGCACTGGAGGGAGAACAGTAAACTAGACAGACACATTGACAGCTCGCGGGGAGTCTGAGCTCCAGAAACTTGGACCAGACTTCCCCTCCATGTTCAATGTACTGTGTTCTTTCTCATTTGATCATTTTCTAAAGAGAACTGTGTTCTCCAACCAATATGGAGATGATTCGCACACCAATTTGTGTTTTCCTGCTTGAAATGAGGTGATGTATTTATCCTGAAGTCGTATGCTTCTGACAGTAACGCAAGTCAATTTCATTATACAAAAATGAAGTGCGCTGAAATTTATTATTATTTTACTAAACATAAATCAGGTAACGACTTCAACATCTATTACCTAAGGACTGACATTTCAAGCCCTTTAGCCATATGTTTCAGTAAATGTGTTTCCTTGTTCATTTACTGCTACATTTTGAATCATTGCCTCTGCCCCATGTGGTGGTTGATGTCTCTCCCTTCCCCTTGAATGAGTCCATTTCTTTTCAAAGATGAGCGCTTCTTTAGAGCCATAGGGAACCTTGGCTTGAGCTGTACAAAGCGCATGCTATGGCCCTCTTGGAGAGAACTTCAACGAAGACCAGGGAGAAGGGAAAGACCCATGATGTCTCTGTATTTCACCTTTATTTTGAGTTATAACGAAATACAAATAAAAATGCAGTAACACTATTTTCATGAACGTTTGACTACCTACTTTGACATTCTCACATATTTTGATTCAGTTTCTCAATTCCTACATATTTTATGAATATACTTGTGTGTGATTTTTTAAAGAGTTGTACGTTTGTTACAATTTAATGCCAACCAACTTTACAATCTAGGCAGGAATATGCAGGAATTTATTTGCAAGCACTTTTAATAAAATAACTGTGTTAAACAAGCTTATCTGAAATATTGGGTAGCAATCAAAGGATAGCAGCGAGTTATCTGTTCTGCTGTGATGTCCAGCTCTGAAATAAATATATATAAATGTATGTGTGTGTTCTCTCAGGAGGTTGAGCTCTGTCGCGTTAGCAGCCAGGAGAAGCTAGGTCTGACAGTCTGCTACCGAACGGATGATGAAGAAGATACCGGCATTTATGTCAGCGAGGTAAGAAACTCAGTGATGTGGGATTGAGGAGGGAGATGCCACGGACAGAGTGAAATGCCTCACAAAGGAAATCCTTCAGGGGCTGGACTGTGAAGAATTGGCCATGGTCCAGACGTGTCACTTTCAATTAGGAAAGTAAATTATGTTGCCCAACTAATGTAATCATTATCAGCTTGTTTACTGTGAATGCTATCACCACAGAATCCCACTAAGGAAAGTATGAAAGTGGTAACATTATCTAGAGTTCACTAAATTCCCACAAGCATCTAGACCCTTGAGCGGAGATTGCAGCCGGCAAGCATTTTCTCCCTCCTTGCCACTACGCCTTCCTTCGGTTTGGTTAACAATCACATTGGCTAATTGTTTTCATCTAATATGCACACTAATCACGCATTTGGCTTTCCCCAGGGGACTGAAGGGTTGGAAGGCCCAACGAGTGCCCCTATGTGTTTGTTCCACTCACAGTCTCAGCATCGCTCTCAGGAAGCCCAGGAGATGCTTCTTGACACCCTTGAAGTCAATTAGTTTGAAAGAGGTGAAGCAGAATTTATGACCCAGGTTCATTATTTGTAATAGAGCAGCACAGGACTTGCAAATTGAAGCTGTTCCCAGTTTTTTTGTCTGTGATTGTGAAAAAGAAAACACTTCCTTTGCCGAACCTGTTTGAAGCATTCAACTGGAAACATCACATACCAGTGCTAATTTCATTGGCTTTTTCATTGGCTAATTCCATTTCTCATACACAACCACCATGGATCAGTCCAAGGAGGCTGTGTTGCTATGATACTGAGCAGGTTTTGTCAGCGCTTCCAGGCTCAGAGGGAACAGGAAGAAAGGCCTGGGGAATCTGTATCTAAAACAAACCAATGAAAACCCGTGGGTCATAATGGTGCGTTCTGCAATTCATGAGCTGGGAGTCAACTCTAAAGCAGATAACAAAACCATAGAGTAGTTAGTTATACGGAAACAAAATTAATGTCCATTAAAAAACTTCCAGGGATATTTCAGTTATCCCTCTTGTAAATGTGTAACTGTGATCATTGGAGGCATGGGAGTTATAAGGAAGTATAAAGAAATATCTGCTGAATTGTCTCTTGTAATATGGACCTAGGTGAATAGGTAGGAGCTTGCTAATTGATTGCAGTTTTGAAGATAAGGCTTTATTTAGATTATGCATGCTTTCTACATAGGGTTTGATTGATCAATCATTCCTTACTTCCTGCTAGTAAATCTTTTAACTATCTAAATTTGCCAGATTTAAACCTCACTTTTAATGGAAGGCTCACAGCCATTAAGTCAATGCTGACTCACAGCTACCCTCTGTAGGTTTCCAAGACTAACTGTTTGTGGGAGTTGAAAGTCTAGTCTTTCTCCCATGGAGCTGCTGGCTCGCAGCCCAGTGCATCTGCACTACACCACCAGGGCTCCTGCCAATGGGAGGTAAAGAAGCCACACAAATGGAGCATATGTACCTGAAGGACTGCTTTCCCTAGACCTTTTACATATGATGATAGTCTCTTTTGTTCTTGACAAATCGCTGCAGACTCATTTATTACATGGAAATGCTTAGAAAGAAGATAATATCTAACATCTCATTAGGATGAGGCAACTCCATGCTACACTTGAAGTATTTTGTTTAAAAATAGGTTTTGATAGAGAAAGCCTAAATAAATGGTTCAAACCCACCAACAGGAACGTGATAGATGAAATTAGTCCCAGTGAACGCTAAGCTATCACTCGTTTCGCCCATAAAAATGTTGGTAAACTCTTAATAGAACCTTAAGTATCTATTTATGCTAACATAACTTACAGTTAATGCACTTAGCCCATTATGTAAATTGTTCTCTAGTAATAACCTTCATGGATAAGAATTTTTTTCATTTTTTGGCAATTGAGAATATAAATCTCTTCAGAAATTAAGGTGACCATGAGACGGAAAACCCTGGAATAAGTATGAACTAAGAGCGCAGTGGTCAGCCTTTCTAAGCTTACTACCGTAGTTATGAAAGGTCACCTTCTGCCACACTCGTTCATTGCCATCAAGTCAATGCCAACTCCTAAAGACCTCGCAGGGCAGAGCAGGACTACTCCTGTGGCTTCCTGAGGCTATAAATCTTTACTGGAGCCTAACGCTTCACAATGGCCGCCGGGTGAGTTCAAACTACTGCCAACACAGCACATAACCCATGACGCCACCAGGCCTCTTAAAAGAGGAACAAAGAAGTCACCTTCATAATAAGTGAATGTCCTGGGCCCAGACAATCCTAGTCTTAACGTGGTCCGAAGTCAGCTAACGACCAAGTCTGACAACTTAGAGTCAGAAATGTATACGTAAAGGCAAAAAGGGTTTTAAGATCAAGTTCTGCACTAGCACACTTTCATTTTATCTCTGTAAATTCTAAAATGGTCCATGTACTCTTAGGAGCAGTCATTTTTAACAGAGAAAAAAAAATAGCCAACTTACATTGTGTCGTAAATCAATGGAGAAATTTGAACCGTGTCTTGGCAAATGTGTATTAAGACCAGGTCTGAGTTTTTGTTTGTTTGAGTGTGTGTGTGTTTTTTAATTGAAAATGGTCATCCTATCTGTATTACAGGTAGATCCAAATAGCATTGCTGCCAAAGATGGCCGGATTCGAGAGGGGGACCGAATTTTGCAGGTATGTAATTGTTTTCTTATGTTTCTATAATCTCTCTAACAGATTTTCACTTGTTTCCTGATAGATGTTAGAGGAAATCATTTGTCTTTGCTTGTGGACATTAACACCTTCAAAATAATGAGCTACCAAGAATCCTTGCTTTTAGTTAAAAACGGTGAATATTATTAGCAGTTATTGTCTAAAATTAATGGTTGAGGTGCTCACTGTGAAGTCAGAGTATTTGACCATGTGCTTGGGCACGTCTCTTCTCCTTTTATGTTAAGCTGGCTCCTCATCTTAAAGAGGAATGGTCATCGCACCTGCCATTGTCAAAGTGAAATAAGGGTACGCCTGTGCTGGTCGTGCTGACACAGTCCATGCAGGTGCTTCATGAACAGTAACTCATGGCAACCCACTGGGGGCTCCTGAGACTGTGACCATTTATGGGAGTAGAGCTACTGGTGGTTTCAAACAGTGGACCATGAGAATCACATCCCAATTCGTAACCACTACACCACGAGGGCTCCATACAGTTTCTATGACAAAACACCATAAAGTGGGTAACCTAAGAGCAAAAAATAATTTTTCCAGTGGTAGAAACTTGAAGTCCAAATCTAGATATTGTCAGAGATGTGCACTTTCTTTCAGCTCTGACAAAAAAATTCTGTCTTGGTTGTTTTCTTTGGATAAGCCCCGAATGTTCCTCAAAGTGTTTTGACTTCTGCATGAACCCTTCTATACTAACTTTCCCCCTTTGTGTGACTCTACTTCCACACTTAGCCTCCTCTTTGATATGCTCAGAAGGAAGGAGCCCTGGCGGTGTAAACAGCTATGTACTGAGCCACTGGCAGTGTGGTGTGGTGTAGTGGTTATGTATTGTGCTCTGAACCGTATGGACAGCAGTGAAAAACCACGACCATCTCTAAGGGAGAAGGACAGGGGTCACTATCAGTCAGCATTGAGTCGATGGCTCTGAGTTTGGAGACTGAGCTTCTAACCAATGGTCAGTGGTTCAAACCCAATGTCTGCTCTATAGAGGAAAGATGAGGCTATCAGTTCTCATAAAGATTTACAGTCTCTTCTGAGACTGGAGGCATTTCTACTCAGTCCTATAGGGTCTCTATGAGTCAGAATTGACTCAATAGCAGTGACTTGACTTGAGTCTCAGGAGAGGATTAGGATTAGAACCCACACTACTCTAGTAAGGTTTAGTTAATTTAACTGAAAACATCAGCAGAGAAAAGCTCAGTTTCCCCCAAAGTCTCATTCACTGGTGCAGGGGGTAAAACTTACACATATCTCTCTGAAGGATGTGATTCTATGCGTATCACAATAATCAGTCATCTCTGTCTTTTCCAGAATTAACTAGCTGAGCATGGATTCTACTTTCTATTATTGTATAGATTTCTAGAGCTGTAAACTTTTTTTTTAACAATTTACCTGTTAGAGGAGAAATCACATTTTCTCCATCTTCCCCTAAGTGGAAATGTGGAACCTAGAGACTGATGAGATTCCCACCTGACAAGGGAGATGGTTAGCAGATCTTGGGGAGATGCAGGGCTTGAAAGAGAGTCCCAAGCCAAATGATGGATAATCTTAAAAAACACTTTACTCAACCCATCCATCCCGTCTGAGTCTTCAATCATAAAGAACAGAGAGACACACAAGGTCCTCAGCTTTTATATCAAAATGAACCCCCAAATAAGAACACAGGCCCTGGGGGCTGAGGCACTGCTGATCACAGCAGCAAAACCGAGGAGACTCAAACGACAACGTGGGAGGTTACACAGTGTTAAAACCACTCTCTACAACATTGCCTCGTTCACCTTACCCTGGAGACGGCTTTTTGAATTCGATACTCTGCCTTTTCTTTCCCCCACACCTAAAATATGTGCAGTTTATTGTATGTCAATTGTACCTCAATAAATGTGCTATTTTAAGGCTAAGCCTTCTGGAAGTAGAGGTTAAGGGGAATCTAATATTTTAGAGGAAAGGTGAGATGGTCTAGGAGGGTGAAGGGTTGCAAGTCTGGGGCAGACACCAGCTGGAACTGGGGCCAGCTCCCTGTGGGTATGTACATGCAGCTCTGAAAAACACCCACTCCATGACTAGCAGATCCAGCACGTTTTGGAGGACAAGGGCTTCAAGAGTGGACAGGAGGGGAAGGCGCGAGATGCTTGCCCTGAGATGGATAGATAGATTAGTCTCGAGATGGTCTTTAGAATGTAAACCTTCCTAATGCTGCGACCCTATAATACAGCTCCTCATGTGGTGGTGACCCCCAACCATGAAATTATTTTCGTTGGGTCTTCATCACTGTAATTTTGCTACTGTTTTGAATCATCATGTAAATATCTGATCTGCAGGATGCATTTTCATTGTTACAAATTGAACATGAAAGCATAGTGATGAATCACAAAAACAATATGTAGTTATATATTGTGGAATATTTATTTCTAATGACAAATAAATAAAATTTTGTCGCATAGCATGGGTAACAGTCTTCACGCAGGTACTCGTATGTGGGCGGGTCCGCCTGGACACGGATAGAGGAGCGGTGTCTCAGTTCCTAAGACCACCATAAATATGTTTTCCACTGGTCTTAAGTGACCCCTGTGAAAGGGTCGTTCGACCCTTCAATAGGGGCCACGACCCACAGGTTGAGAACCACTGTCTTAAGGCCTAAAACAATCGTTCAGCTTACCTAGTAAAAATGCCTGCTTTGAGTATTGTGAACTTTTAAAAACTACCTTTAAAGAACTACCTGTGTGTGTGTGTGTGTGGGGGGGGGGGGGTCTCAAATTAACAGCAGCAACCCAGAAGATTCCGTAGAAACCTTAGAAGGCTGTGAAGGAGCCGAGGTGGCATAAGGGTTACACGTCAGGCTGCTAACTGCACGCCCCACCATTGAAAACCAGCAGCCACTCTCCCTGAGATGGAGGAGACTTTCTCCTCCAGTGAGGAGTTAGTCTCAGAAACGCACAGGGACAGGCCAATCCTCCTCTGTCCTCTAGGGGCGCTGGGAGGAGTGACGGACTTTTCCGCAGTGAGTTCGGTTTTTAGCTTCTGGTCCTTCGATTCTCCGGGTAACTTTACATACAGCAATTGTTATAAAATACGATACCTCCCCACTTGCTCTTGCACCCTCTCCTCACTCCCTTGCTCATTTTTCGTTTCTAGTCTACCGCAGGCAAGTCATCCAAGTTCTAACACTATCTGTGTTCTGAAGGTGTAGATGGAAAGGAATAAAGTACACAGTCTTTCATATATGTAACCCCATGTCCTGACACTTCCAAACTCTTGGGGACACTGTGGGCAGATCAAGGTTTTAGCTAAAATCTGTGCTAGGTAAGAAGGCATTCCTTAATGGAGTTCGTTCATTGAAGAAGCAGCAGGATTGATCAATGGCTATTTTCTGCCTAATTACTTATATTCTGTGACAAATATGTCACACTTGATGAATAAATAAATGCCATATTTAAGAGCCTAGACTTCAATCCTATCTGTGCACACAGGAAACAAAGGAAACTGTGACAAACTTGCACCCATAGGCAAATAGCTCCCACATGTCTGATGGGGAGATTACAGGATACCCTGCTAATGAACAATTAATGACTCTTTTGCCAAAGATATGAGAGTGGGAGAAAGAAAGGATTTACTTTTTATCCTTGGAGATTCCTGGCTGGCTTTTATTTAAATGAACCTCTTTAGAACAATTGTGATTTTAATATCCTGTTCATGATGACCTCAGTAAAGTACTTTGATGGTCCTACAGATTGTGTGGCCAATTTCTCCTTTATGTAGCACACCAGGAGTTTATTGGATGACCTCACCTATTAACATCTCTCCTGCACGACCATTGGTAGAGATTGGTTGGGGCTGGGGTGGGGAAGGGGTGTTAAAGAAGAGAAGCTGCAAGCCCACTTCATTAGTACGCACACATTTAAGTTCGAAGGCGTTTTTTGTTTTGTTTCCCCCTGCAGGGGCTTGACAGTTCAATTTCATTGCCTTTGCCAAGGACTTGTGGTATCAGACTAGATACCACATTGATTTGAGAAAGCCCTCTCATAAAAGTATAGGCATAGACCTAGAGAAAGTCAAAGCATTGCTAAGCAGCCATAGAGGAAGGATTAAGAACCACATACCTACTATGCTTTCCAAAAGAAGGAGGAGTCGACTCTCATTTTCTCCTTTTGAAATGACAGGCATCTAATATTACATTTAACCAACCCAAACTCATGTTAACCCAAATTGTCAGTCGTGTTCCTAAGATGAAAAACACAAACTTGCCTTAAGTTGCTCTGACTGCTGGCGATCTCTCGTGTATCTGAATCAAATGGTACTGCATAGGATTTGTAGTCTGAGAAGATCGCCAGTCCTCTCTTCTTTCCTCCAACGTGCCACTCATCATGTAACTGAGTAGACTCAAATCCCCAACCTGGCAGCTAGCCAATGGTGTTAGCCCATTGTACCACCCAAGAACTTCTCCGAAGGATTCACAAAAGTCAAGCCCACTATCACTGATGTAATTCCCATGCACACTGACTGTACACGATAAAGTACAACAGCTCCACAGTTTCTGAGACTATAAATATTTAGAGCAGCCGACTCTTCTTTCTCCTGTAGAATGGCTGGTGGTTTGAACTCCTGACCTTGCAGGAGTTCAATACCAACCCAAAGTGCTTAAGAATTACTATTCCTGCTAACCCCTAACAGAACTAAAGCAATGGAACAAGACCTTCCTTCAGTAGTTCTGTGGGGTTCTGAGACTATTTACAGGAGTAGAAAGCCCAGTCTTTGTCCCGCAGAGCTGCTGGTGATTTTGAACTGCCAACCATGCAGATCGCAGCTCAGTGTGTAACCGCTGCACCACCAGGGCTCTCTATGAGTAGATTGTGAGTTTGGTTTTTTTTTGGGGGGGGGGGTTACTAGTTCTCGCTTTCTTTCTCTGATCTACACGTGAACTGGTCTCAGCATTTCTTTCTATCCTTTAAATTTTTCCTTTAGAGCTATTTTCCTCCTGTCTGTTTTCTTTCCACATATGTCTGTCCTTCATTCCCATCCCATTTTCCTTCCACACTGCATGTGATCAGATTTCAAATGAATCTTTCCTCTTTTGCCTCCTAGTCTGGTTTCCAATGAAACTCCTTTGATGGCTACTCTCCAGGGATTTTATCTGCAGATCTGCCTCTCTGGTGTTAACATTGGGAACCTAAGAATGGCTATGCTGGGTTTAGGAAGACAAAAACAAAGCTCTGTTAAATGTCTAGGGCTTTAGGGATTCTTATAAATACACATTTATAAATACAGGAGATTGGGCCCAAAGTCAGAGTTTGACTGATGTATCTCTGTAATTACCACAAAGCTCTTCTGAGCCAAGGCAATATCTATTTTGAAACTTAAATTTACATATGATGTACAGAAAATGTACAGACACACACACTGTCTAGCAAACGTTTTCCTCAGATTTATCAGAAAGCATGTGTTGTCATCATCCTGGATTTTTTCCCTCGGTTTTACCAGAGTGGAAGGCAGGACTACTGCATCTTAGGTGGGCGGCGCCTTCACAGGATGTCTGCCTGGTGTTCTCCATGCCAGCAACTTGTTTTCTTATGAACAACCTTCCAGCTTTAAAAACCAAACCAAACCAGGCCCTATAAGATGTCTAGGCTTTGAAAATCTTTGCAAGAGCAGACAGCCATATCTGTCTCCTGCTGAACACCTCATGGGTTTGAACTACCAACACTGCACTGATGGCACCATGCTACAGCTATCAATCATGATTTTAAGAGCGAGAACACCTAAATGTTGAGAGCGCTGTCTGATGGCATTCCTCAAGTGCAGTCGTTTCCTTGGGAGTTGCTGAGACCCCGGCCTGTATTTCTCACCCACAGCAGCTTGGCTGAGAAACCAATGCCCGGAGTGCAACAGGACTACCACCCCACTGGGGAAAGGGGCTCTTACTTTGAAAAGGAAACAATAAACTAAATTTCAATGCCAGATTTCACCAGCAGCTTTATCGCATTCAATGTGTGATTCTAAATATAAAAGTGTTTCTGCAACACATGAATTGCATCCTTCACCCAAAAGAAAAAGAAAAAAAAAATAGAATTCTTGCCAGGACAAGAGACAATGGATCTCGTCATTCTGAGTTCACAGATGAGAGGCACGCATGCCAACTATAGAGGGATTTACACGTAAACGGGACCATATTGTTTCCTGGTGGCCTGCTATGAGTTAGCAAATACATAGACAATAGAAATCTTTTTTAATTAAATTGTGTTTGCTGCTGTGGATTTAACTATATTGAATTTTAATATATTTATTCTACTTAGCAGACATGTACCATTCCTGGACTGATAATTAAATATAAATGAAAGTAGTAAGAATAACCAATACAATAACACCGCCCACTATCTGTGTAGTATGTGCCAGCACTCAACAGGTACTTACGTCCACCCTTTCACATGTAACTCATTTTAATCCTTCTCTCCACCCTCTGGAAAAGGCAGCCTGATTTTCTGCATTTTACAGATAAGAATACTGATGTGAAGAGAGATGATAAGTCGTATGCCTAAAATCACACCATTAGTAGACTAAGGAAATGGGACATAAACTATTTGGCACTACTCTCTTGGGCTCTATAAAGTTCTACAAAAAGAGAAACCCGTTCCCCCTTCAAGTCCATTCCAACCCATCACAATCCTGTGTGTGACACAGGAAAACTATGTCCCGTGCACGTTCAGTCACTGATTTTCTAGAACTAGGTCACTGATCCTTCCTTCTAAGGTACCTGTGGATGCACTCCAACCTCTCACTCAGTAGCTGAGTGCACTAATCATTTGTATGCTCAGGGATTTCATAAGGAGAAAGGTCGGTAGAATTGGTTATAAGGAAGCTGTCAGTACGCAGAGACCCATTAGCCATGGTTTAGTTGATATGAAATTAATACATAAACATTAGCTAATATTAACTAACTAATCTGCCTTGGGTTCAGGTTTTCTTTCTGCCCATATAAGACCTTTGGCTTCCACTGTCTCTGTTCAAAGCTGAAGAGATTCCAATGGCAAGTCGAGAGGAATGTAGCTACCTCTCACACGCCTTCAGTGTTAGGAGTCCTACACACGGAGCTGCACACAATGAGCCACTGTCCTGTGGGAGCTTTAGCTATAAGCCATTCACACTAACGAGGTTACATGTAGGTGGGAAATCCAGAGATCTCAATGAAGCAGCATTTGACTGACATGAATAAGAAGCATTCGATTCATGGTAGGTGAAATTTAGATGAAGAATGAAGAGGAAGTGTATGTGAGACAAGAGGGAAACCATGAGAACTGATGTTTGAAACCTACGAGCAATACAGAAAAGCTGCTTGAGAAAACTGAAGTCAATCCCCTTAGGATTACAGGTGCCTCCAGTGGAGAGAAAACGAACCCTTTGGCTCAGAATGAACAGACAAATGGTAGATTTGTTACCAAAAAACCAAAACTATTATAGCATGGACATAAGCTCTCAATGTTCTAAGAAAGTGAAAAAAAATATCGATCAGCCATTCTCTTAAACTAGATTTAATTGGGTGGGGGAGGTGTAGTGTGATCCCCAATGGCCCATTTATCTTTACCTGAGAGCCGTCGCCTCTAGCATTCTGCCCCATTTTGGAATCTGGGCTTTCATTCTCTCTCTCTTTTTATTTTCTAATTTGATTAATTTTATTTGTGAATTGCAAGAAAGAGCTGTGCATGACACGTGTGAAAATCTAAATGTCCTGACTGGCATACAAGCGAGACTCTAAGGGTGCACATCTGTAATCGGCCGCAAACACAACCTGTGGTATGGCCCCTGCGCCCACCCTCTTGGACTGCCTTTTGCTAACAGGATGATGAAAATCCAGAAACGGGGCTCCTATCGTGGGGTCTACAGTTAAGACTATCGGGCTTGTTTTCAGATCGTTCGCTTTGTCCTCAGGCATGAGCCACAGCTTCAGAGAACCACCGGAGCAGGCCTCAGTAGTTCACGCCACCCTCTCACTCAGAAAACCTATGTGAAATCTGTTAACTCATTCACTCTTCACATGGTCCGAGCAAGCCAGTTTCCATCTGTCTGACTTAACACTTATTTTAGACGGAATCGCTTAGCCTCTATATTTGAAATTTCTTCCCACAGATATTATTATTAGTTCCGGGTTCTCAAAAGCCCATCGTTGCTATAAAGTTTGAGAACTTTTGAGATCTCCAGAAAGGAAAAATAAACTGAATAGAAGCAAAGGAGAAATGGGAGCTGTTAAGTAAGAGTTGACAACAATAGAACATGAAAATTGAGTTTCCAATACATTTAAAACTTTAGACATCTTGTTTCCTTTGTCTTTGGGGCTTTGAAAAAGGACCCTGATTGATGGCACACATCAATTTCTCCAGGTATGCCCAAGCCTGACTTCTTTCCCTCAGCATTTTCTTTTTAAAGTCAACGTTACTCTGTCTGAATCGACAAGAGAAAAAAATGTACGTGTACCTCAGAGAGCCACCCTAAGACACTGTTGTTTAAGGAAATGGATCGTTCAGGAAAAGGAGCTGGCACACTAATGAAGGCATTGCTGATGAGCCCAAGTTCCTTTGATTGGCTAAGCCATGAAAGATCTTCTGAGAGGTTTAGGCCACTGAGTCAGACCTACACACAAATATGCAATGATTAAATGGAACCGCAGCCAGCAGCGGCCGGGCAGGTTGCCTGGTGAGAGATAATAGTGCGGCTCTCTAATTGGCTCCCAGCAAGCATGCAGAATGACGGATTTCAGTTATGGTACCGCCAGCCCTGCTTCCCCCAGCACTATTATCTCAGAGTGACACTTCCATTACTCTGAGCGGAGAAAGATGAACGTCACCTGTCAGGGGCTGGTTAATTGTGTTGCTAGATGTATGTTGCCAGGGCGCAGGTTGGACATTTATGAACATAACTGCTTCCTCTGATGCCCGCCATCCTTCAGGGATCAATATGGCTCTTACAGTAAGCGCGTAATTGAGTGAAGGCACTTTACTACGGAGGGGCTGACGATGAGCCCATTGTGTGAGCTTCATTGTCCATACATTTACCATAAATGAGCTGGTATTTGCCATTTATTGTGTGCTGTGTTGTGGAAATGGAAACTAATATTCCACTTTCATTTGTTTTCTAGATAAATGGTGAAGATGTCCAAAACAGAGAAGAAGCGGTGGCTTTGCTCTCTAGTGACGAGTGCAGGAGAATCGTGCTGCTTGTGGCAAGGCCAGAGATTCAGGTCAGCGAGGAAAAAGCACCTGGAGACTGAACTTGACATTCATTATGTTATTCTGTAGCAGATCAGTACTGTGGATGTTTGTGAAACGAAGTAGACCAAATGTAACCACAACAGATCTTTCCTAACTTGCTCACCTCACCAAATAAATGAGAAAGTCTCTCCTATGTTGCTCCACAGAACGGCAGCACAGCATCCGCTTGTCTTAAAGGCATGCAAAATTCACTACCCCTACCCACCACCTCTTGCCAGTTCTTGAAATGATTCCACAAATGAAAAAATCATTGACTTGTGAGATGCTTAATTCTGTATGAATTTTTCCATTTGGTTTCCATCTAAATATACTTAATTGGCATATTGAGGTATCTTGAAAGAGTCTCTAATGAGAGAAACATTAGCATATCTAGTTTTCAACGTAACTTCTTTTAGAGTAATTATCAAATAAACCATCTTATGAAGCATGATATGGTATCACGTATACTAAATTAATTTTTCCAAGTTTAGTGGGACACCCGTATCTACTTGGCCAAAACGAACTGATGGATTCTAAAGAAAATGTTTCATATCTTTGCAGAGGGAGATGTTACGAAAATAAAGCAGAGGTAATGGAGGAAGAAAAGTACTATTGGCTCTTCCTTTTCATTCTCACCACAATGCAGAAAGTACATACTACTATCACCAGTCTACTCCTCTGTCAGCAACTTGAATGAAGTTGGTTATATTGCCATTTGTCTCTTAGGTAATTGATCTGATATATTTCAGACTCTGTAACTATCTGAAAGTACTGTCCATCGAGTAAGTATAGTTCAGTGTCAGACTGAATCTGAACTTGAATGTAGCGGTTATAAAAGACCACCGTTTCCGCATATATTTCTTTTATGCCCTTGACCATGTTGAATGGTTCTCATAGAGCCTGCCTTGGCCTGGAGCACAGTAAAGCTACCCACCTGAGGTCTTCAAAACAATAATATCACTGCCATCAAGTCACTTCTGAGTCAACGGCCCTACAGAGCAGAAAAGAACCGCCCTGAGACTATGGATCTCTTTGGGAGTAGAAAGCCCCAGCTTTCTCCCTCGGAGGAACTGACTGGTGTTTAGAACTGCTGATTGCTGTTCTTTCCGTTAGCTACCCAAAGGCATAACTCCCTATACCTCTGAGGTCTTAGGGGTGGGAAAAAGGAGCCTACGCAACTGCCCTTCATTAGACCGAGCTTTGAAAATACACATGAAATTGCATCATCTGGAAATCTCACAAAATAACATCATTGGTACCATTTTCGGGGGCTGGGGGGAGGTCACCCTGGAGAAACAAGCTAGAAGTAAGGAAGTTTGTGGTGAATCTAGGACACAGCACAGCCGTGATGCAGGGACGATCGCTTAATGATATAAGGTGGTTCCCTGCCCTTTCCGTGTAATTAAAGCAGTTCTTCACACTGTACCACATAATTGGTCTCGTGCTTGAGCCCATTGTTGCAGCCACGGGGTCAAGCGTAGGAACAATTGTGAGTGTTTCATTCTCTTGTGCAGAGAGTTGTTATGGGTTGGAACCAACTTGATGGCACCTAACCAAAGCATACCACCGAATGGTGATGGTGGACTGTGAAATGAATAGGAATTAAGGACATAAAATCCGATCCTGTTCAGCCAGTGGCATTTTTAATATCTCCCAATGCTCTTGATCCTTTCCCCGCAAATAGTTGATATTGTTGGATGAATTGTCAAGCCAGACCTAGTATTGCAGTTGGTGAAGGATGGTCATGTGACTTTGTAGGATGCCAACCTGTCTGCCTGTCGGAAATCAGGATCTGCCTTAGCCCCTTTTCCCTGAAGACCCTCCATGTCACTGGAGGGAAGTTGAACATCTTTAGAAAACCAAAATGTCCAGAGAAACCAAAAATGAAAGGGCTTTTGAACATGATACTTGGACATTTTAATTTAAGCAGTACATTTGATAAATGGCTACCAAAAGGTGAAAACTAAAATCTTTTTTTCCCTAGCACTCATACTTTTCATTGAATCATGATGTTATTGTTATTTCTTACATGTATATTTTATCCAGGAACAACATGGAAGCTGGTTGCGTGCTTTTTTCCTAGCCTTTTTCTTTTTCTTTTTCTTTTTTTAATGTTTCCAATATCCACTGAATTCTTGGAAATGATCTACAGAGTTGCTGGGGGCAGTATTGTGCATCTGTGCAATATTTTTAAATAACTCATTCCTCTCATTCCCTGTCAACTTTCTTTCATTTTCCCCCTCAGACCATTAAAGATATTGCTATTCTGTTCTATTCCCCTTGGGCCGCTGGGGCCGAGCGAGCGATCTTCCGAGCATGTCCCACCACCTTTGAAATGGTAGTGTCGGTTGTTCCTTTCTCTGAAATGTCATGTGCACTGCACTTGGGTAAAGACAGATTCTCCCTGGATCCTAAGGGCCACCTTCTTTTTCCTGAAGCTCAGCTCAGGGAGGAGGTCTGTCCCTGCCACCGCATTCGACTGACTGCCGTGAATGCAGCTGTGAGTGGAAAGGAGAAATACACCAGGGAGAGGACATGGGCAAGAAGAAGGTCTCCGTGCCCCCTGCACCGTGTGCCCAGCTGCCTAGAGGAAGCCTTATGGCAAAACCAGACCTCAGCTATAGATAACCACTCAGGGTTCTACCAGGGTTTGTCCATAAGAAAAAGAGTTATTAGGAATCATTAATGCTACCCCCACCCACCCCCCTCTTCCTTTAGAACACAAAGTTTATTTCATCATTCTTGCATCGCAGGAGATAATTTAGTTTTGACCTAATTAAAGAAAAGTTCTATGGGGTATTTTTGATAAACATTTCTAGTTTTAAATAATTCATTCTGGAGTTTATCGTTTGCAGCTTCATGGAACTTAAAAGGAATTAAAGAATGTAAAGTTTGGACAATTATAAATTGGAATGAATTTAAATTTTTAGTCAGCTTAATTATCATAATTCATTTGCATATCAAAGTCAGTGGGGTGGAACCCAGTCAAGTTACTCAGGCCACATTAAGATAAATGACTGTGAATAAATGTGTCCATGTTTTTGGCCCCAGATGGTTTCGAGATCATATAAGTTCTTGATGGCCTTGATAAGCTATCAAGAAGACTATAATTTGATTTTATATTAATGACTATAATGCATAAATGTTGATCAGCCTGTGTGGTGCAGTTGAATACCCTACTTTCAGGTTGTTTCTTTTTAACTTTAAAAAATAAATTTATCTTGAAGAGCTTATTTTTCCAACTTGTTTTGGGGTGAAAACAAACAACAGTCCATTTTGGCTCCCCAGAAGCTGCTGTTTCTTTATGGCAGGGTAAAACAGAATGTTCACAATAATCCAGCTAATTCAATCATCATCGCTAATTTATGCAACCCAGCTCCAAAAATCTACTTTGTGGCAAATTATCTATATCAACTCTCAACACTGATCATATTAGGGAGGAACCGCCAGCTTTCTTCTTTCCCTCGACTAGAGAAACAAAAGGGACGTGTTGGGGTAGTGTCTTGAAGTTGTCCACTCTAAACGTTGTGTTCAGCACCATAGACAGATACCCTGCATGCTAAGCGCAGCTCTACCATCTCTTAGTGCTAATCGGCTAGAGCAATTTTCTGTGGAATTTGGACCGAAAAACGAATCAAAATAGAACACGATAGAATAGTTTTTGTTTGTTGGGGAGAATAACTTCAGATTTTCCTTTTTCAGATGAAACAAGCGTTGTCTGTAGACTCTTTTGTGGCAAGCAGCCAACCTTGTAACTTGGAAGCCGTCCTGCTGGAAATAGACAAGCAGGAAGGAGGAGTGTCAGAGTGTGGGGGGCACTTTGTGCGCCGTCTCATTGGGGGTTGTTGTTGAGGGAAAAAAGCCCAATTGTCTCATCGCCCTATTAGTCCCATTGCAGTTCCTTTACCGCGGGGGCTGGTGGGGATAATGAGCATGGGAGCTGTGGATTATGCAGTATGCTTTTCATATATTTTGAAAGAAGGTAATGTCCTACGCTGGGAGATCTACTCGGTAATGAGAGAAAATCTGGAGCTCTGGTTTAAAGAAGGATAAAAGGCTTAAGAGTCCTGTTTTTCAAATCACCTTTTCTTCTTTCTGAGAGGTGAGCTATGTGATTCTGAAGAGAATCATTATGATAAAAGGCACTGGCCAGGCGTCGCCATTTAAGTTTACCCTATTTTAGCATGGGTTCTCGCTAACCTAATAGAACATACTAATGTATTCTTTTGCAGCTGGATGAAGGCTGGCTGGAAGATGAAAGGAATGAATTCTTAGAGGAGTTAAACTTGGAGATGTTCGACGAACAGCATAATGAAGCAATGCAGCACACTGCCAATGAGGTGGAGCAGGTAGGGCCAACAATTTGAACTGCATCATTTGAAATGTTGCCAGTGCCTTTTTAAATGTATCAGCCGACGTGGAGAACAAAACAGAAAAAGCAAAAAAAACCAAAGGGTTGAATCAAACAGCTCTGTAATGGTAGTATTTCATAGTAAATGATCATCTCAAAGGAAAGAGCGGGAATAGGTAAATTTTTCCTGTGAAGGGTGTCTCCCGTTTGAGAAATTTGAGGGCCATTGTCAGCAGAGGACAACAGTGTAAGTAGCTTCCTTCTACAACAGGGGTCTGGTCTGACAACACCGTGGGGAATCAGACCTGACGTAGGTCGAGCACCTTATTGCTCATTCGTATACTTTATTTTGGCTTTCATTATTAGTGTTTTATATTATCAACACCTTTATAAATCTAATCTTGATTTGTCTTTACATTTATTGTAGTCATTTGTGAGTTTCCCTCTAGGATAGCTAATATTTTTTAAAGCCAGATAATAACAAATGTTGATGAGCCTGTGGGGAAATTGGAACCCTTACCCATTGCTTGTGTGAATGCAAAATAGTACGGCTACTGTGGGAAGCAATGTAACAGCTCCTAAAATCAACAACAACAACCCAAAAAAACCTACCCTATGACCCAGATCTTTCACTCCTAGATATAAATACCAAAGACTTAAAAGAAGAAACTCAAAGATCTGTACACCAATGATTATTGCAGCACTATTCACAATAACCAAAGGGTGAAATCAACTGAAAATGCCCTTCCACAGTTGGCTGGATAAGCAAAGTGTTGTACATGCTTACAGTGGAACACTACTCAGCCAGTAGAAGAAATGAAGTCTTGACATGGATGCTGCTGGAAGATATTCTACTGAGTAAAGCATGTAAATCACTCCAGGGCAAATACTGTACAACTTCAATTATATAAAAAGACTTTAAAAAGGCAATTTATGGACCACAGAGTTTATTGGTGGCTGTAGGGTTGGCACAGAGGGGTGAGAGGGCTTTAACAGTGGTAAAGGAGCTCATTGGTTCAGGGTAAGGGTATACAAAAGATTGTTGCTGTTGCTGATCATAAACTTTACTCCTATAAGAAACTTGAATTGACAACAGTCCTGTGATAATTTATGATGACCAAAAAGAAAAAAACAGGAACTGATGAAGCTGTTTATGTACAACCAAAAACTTTATGGGCTTGGATTTCTTGGTTTTGAGGTCTAGGGTCATGGTTTCATGGAACTTCCCAGTTAATTGGAATAAAAGTGTGTCTTGTGCTTCAGGTCTACCTCCTAATTCAGCTGATATTGGTCTTAAAGGCTTGGAAATGACAAGCAAGGCAGAACAATTCTCCTGTATTCATTTGGAACAACAGAGGAAGAGAGTCAGGAATAGAAGAAGCATATAGAATGTCTAGCTAATTACCACCTTGAATAACTACATCCTTTACCATAAAACCAGAACTAAAGGGTGACCAGCTATCATTCCTGAACATTTTAATTTAAAAATTCTAGAGGGGAATCCTTCTCTTAAAGGGAGAAAAATATAGATCAGAATTTCAAATATTCAAGACTCTGCGTGGGGCCATGAAGATTGAATGTACCCCTGACATGATTGCCCTGAGATCATCTTTAAACTTAAATCGAAAGTATGCCATGCAGTCTTCTAAAAACCAAACAAGGGTTTAGCTTAACTAGTTAAAAAAAAAAAAGGTCTATCTTGAGCTTTGTGCTCTTGTAAGAACAATCTCTATAGGACCGCAGTGACCAAAGCAGCTTGAATGACTGGACAGGAACCTGAGAGGGTTGTGAATTTACGCGAGCGGGAGAGGAGCACCTCGTAAAAGGCAGTTGAGAATGGTTCCCAACTAGAAGAAAATGAATAGCCTGACTGAATGGTGCGCATAGACGTTGTTGAACTGGGGCATGTTTTGCTGTGTGTACTCTCAACAAGAGCAAAATAAATAAATTCCTTAAAGTAAAATAAAATATATTCACATAAACAAATGATATAGCAACATCAGCAAATCATATCCTGCAGTATTGATGATAAGATAGGTGTTCTAAAATAAATGCATGTATAGTTGAAATGTATTTTGTCATCTCTCAAATATGTCTTAAGTCAGGGCCTACCTGCAGTATTATGTTGACCCAGGTACTGCACTATCCTAAATGTAGAAATTCAAAGCTATAGTAAAAATGTACACTCTGTTTCACTATGTCAACTGGAGAAAGGCTATTTCTCATGCAGCTACCAATCGGTACATTAAAAACACACACAAAGAACATTACATATACAGGCAATTTTAGGACGATGATGGCAATGATATAAGCTATCTAACTTGATATCTGACATCTCTATCTGGCTTACTTTTGCATTTGGTATCATGATCAAATATTTCTGTTGGTATCCTGATTGCACCTATATAACCCTGACTAGAAGTAGTTCTACTTGCGATTATGGACATCATTTTGCTCAGAGTCAGATACTCATTCAAAAATCCATTTTTGAGTTGCTAATATGTCCTGCTGGCACCTTGGTGCCACCATGGGTTGGGCTGCAACTCCAAGGGCAGTAGTTAAAAACCACCAGCCACTCCTCAGGTAAAAGATGAGGCTTTCAACTTCCATAAAGATTTATAGTCTCAGAAACCCACGAGGGCAGTTCAACTCTGTCCAACGGGGTCTCTATGAGTTAGAATCAACTCAGTGGTACTGATATTTTACTTTTTAATATGTCCCAAGCACTATTATTGGTACTGAGAATACAAAGAGGAATGAGCCAAAGTTCCTGCCCTTTCTTGGTTTCCAGTTTGTAAAAGTATGAATTGTGATATTTTTGTCATTGTTATTGTTTTCTTAATATATCAAAACAAAAACAATAGATTCCAGGTGCTTGATGTCAGATCCACGTCATTCAGCTACCTGAAATGATTTTATTCACACTTCTACTGTCAGTTTGTTGATTTTTTAAATCATTAGATTATTTTCAACATTATTACCATAACCTTAAAGAGAGCTTTAAAGAAAAAGTCACCACAATTAGGCTTGGGAACATGAAGAACATCCATCCTTTTACTTTACTGAGATTAAAATAAACTACATAGAGATATACTAATGTCCCAGAACAGAGACCTCGGTGTGTTTGTGTACTATACTGTGTTAGTCTGAGTACTTTAGAGAAACAAATCCAGAGAAACTCATGTATAAGAGAGTTTTATATAAAGGTTAAGTGCACATTAAGAAAACATCCCAACCCAGTGCTGCCCAAGCCCACTAGTCCAACATTAACCCATATGTCCAACACCAATCCACAAAGTCCTCCTCCATCTCACAAAACACACATTATGACGCCGACTGCAGGAGGAAAGCCAAATCAGTGAACATGTAAGCATCTCAGCACTGGCAGGGGTTTCCACACGGCTGCTCCAGCACCCAGGGTTACATGGGGTTAGGTCCATGTGGCTTCTCCTCAGAGATGTATTACAGGAAGTGAGCCTTGCCAGCTGAATCAGAACTGGCTAAGGAAGCTGCACCTTGATGTGACCATCAGAAAGCAAGAGACCCGAGAACTAGAAAGGCGAGGCTCACTGAGCCATTTATCCCTCCACCCTTCAATTAACCCCACATGTGTTTATCAGCCAGGTTGGCACAATAAACTAACTACCTCATATGTGTAGTGAATACATCAGTAGGTTTCCATCCATGGTGTCAACATAGCCATGTGAGATGTTCATATGATGATCATGGATGCTTGTATGTAAGTCACTTCCAAAATAGCAGTTGGTGCTCAAAAGTGCTGCTGCTATTACTATGGTGACTGCTTTTCAATACAGGTAGTGGGGGGTTGAAATTTTTTAGGTTTGACTTCAACATTGGCTTCAAATAAAGATGTTTTTGTGGTGGCAGCTGCTCATTACAAGCAAGAAAGTCCTCGCTCCAGGCTTCCTCTCTCTTAGATACAAAATGTGACCTGATGCTGAATTGACAGAAGGCTGTTAGAATAAAGGGAAAAGGGAGAAAACCTGTCCAGGTGATGGGATATGGTGTCAAATGCTGCCTACTCATCAGACTTAATACAAATGTGAGGGCTTTTGAGGTAACAATAGATGTCCCCGAGGTTAGATTCTCCTTGTGTGGAAAGTTTTCTTCCCCATGAGACTGAAAAATGATGAGAAGTGCAGAAACCTGTAGAAGTCCTGTGCCCTATAAACAATAATACAGCATCAGAAACATCTTGATGGAAGCATTGCCTGTCACTGTAGTAATCCCATAAGGAAAGGATAAATGATAGAATATCATTGTAAAGGAAATGAGCAATTCTAGAATTGAGGACAGAAACCTCTTTTTCTTCTCACAGTTGATCATAAACCAGCAACAAAAGGGAGAGAAACTCAATTTCAAAATTCCTGAAACACATATCCAGATGTAAAACCACTTTACAGAAATGTCTACTTTTTTTATTAGAAATTTCTACATGAGATACTACCCTGACTTCTATAAGTCCAATGAACGCATTGCTCAGTATTTTCTATAGCCCAATGTCCATCACTGGTATTGCATGTAAAATTAGGGAGGGGGAGGGAATCAGCCCTCGTGTCTTTTTTCAGCTCATTTCCAGCACATGTGAAAAATCTAAGTCTAAGTAATGCACTATGTGAACTCAAATGTCTGCTAACAGTAATGCCCTTTGGGGTTTTACAGCACACTGCACTACTGCCACCCCTATTTTCAGCTTTGAGTGAGACGCTCCTTTTTGTTTGTTAGATTACTTATTCATTACTCTATTTTTATCAATACGAAATTTTAAATTGTAAATCAATAAGTATGTTGTCAAGAAATCAGGATGTTTTTATTTTTTTTTCCAGGAAAGGCAGAATCCTAGAATAGCATAATCATATTCTCCTTCATTCTCCCTTAAATGTTGTTCTACCAATATTTATGTGGGAGAAAAGGATAGTCATTTTGATCCTAAGGTAAAATTCACCTTTAAAGGTATCTAATGGTTACGAGTAGAAAAAGTTAATGTATTTCAAATGAGGCATCCCTAGGTGGTTCAACAAGTTAAGCACTCATACAGTAGCTGGAAGTTTGAGGGTTCATATCCATCCAGAGACTCCTCCAAGGAAAGACGTGGCAATTGGCTGCTGAGAGATCACAGACTTGGGGGGGGGGGGAGACAACCCATGTAGCAGTTGTGCTCTGCACTTAGGGGTTACCATGAGCAACTCATAGGCATTCAGTTAGGAGCCTCAGTGTTTTGCTTTTGAGCAATCTGATTTGGGGGTTCTGAGCTATGATAGGCACACATGTACGGGACCATGGCATCCTAGACATACGAGAAATGGAGATGAAAGTGTGTCTGTAGTAAATCGACTCCTTTGGGGACGTTCAGCTCCTCATCTACAGAGAGAAGGTCCTGAACTCTAGCGCTAACATCATGTTAAGCCACTCCTGCAATTTTGTGACCATTGATTGACTCACCATTGTCACCATATCGGTAGATTGAGGAAGAATCTATTTTATTTCCATTTGCTTGAGGAAAGTGCAGGAAGAAAAAAAAAAAGTGATTATAGTTCCTGAACTCCAGGCCTCCAAATGGTTAATGCACAGTTAGTTCACACACAAAGGAGGAAGGCATGCTGTCTATCACCTTACTCACTGCTGTCAAAGCAGTTCCACTGGTAAGTGAACCTATGGAAGGTTTCCCAAACGGTAGAGTCACTGGAACGCAGGACCACATCTTGCTCCCATTGAGTGCAGGTGGATTTGAACCACCAACCTTTCCGTCAGCAAATCAATGCCTAATTCACAGCACTCTTTACAGTCACTCCAGAAACTAATAACGTCCCTCATTTACACACTTGCACGCTAGAGTTTTCCAAGTAAGGGAAATCTTAGTAAGTTATCTTCCTTAATTGTGGTCTGTTTTATTTACCCCCAACTGAGTAGCATCGCCATAGTCAAGCGGCTTCCGATGTCTTCATTCCATTACATTAAAAGCTGTCAGGAGCTAATTGCCTTTACTTCTAAAATTGTTACGAGTGATAAAAATTAGACCAGCTTTCTAGGAGTTGCATTTTCACCAAAAGACATTATTTGACAATGATTTCAAGAACTGATATTTTCAAAAAAGAGTAATTTTCTTTGTTCTCTCAACTTTATTATCTTAGCCCAAAAAGCAAGAAGAAGAAGAAGGTGCAACAGACACGGCAACCTCCTCGTCCAACAATCATGAGAAAGACAGCGGAGTGGGACGCACCGATGAGAGCCTACGGAATGACGAGAGCTCAGAGCAGGAGAACGTGCCCGAGGACCCTCACAGCGTCTCTCTGAAGAGCAAGAGAGAACTTGGGCAGAGCCAAGACACTCTAGGAAGCCTTGAACTTCAGTGCAATGAGAGCTTCGTGTCTGGTGAATACATTGATTCGGACTGCACTGGAAACCAAGAAGATGAATGTGATAGATTTCGACAACTCTTGGAACTCAAATGCAAGATTCGAAACCATGGAGAATATGACCTGTATTACTCAAGTAGCACAATTGAATGCAATCCAGCGGAGCAAGAGGGAGTGGAGCATGAGCTACAGTTGCTCAATGAAGAGCTAAGAAACATTGAACTTGAATGCCAGAATATCATGCAGGCTCACAGGCTTCAGAAAGTGACAGACCACTATGGAGACATATGGGCACTGCACGATGGAGGATTCCGAAATTTTAACACCAGCATAGATGTGCAGAGAGCAAAACTAGATGACATCATGGAACACCCCGAAAAGTCTGACAAAGACAGCTCCAGTGCTTACAACACGGCTGAAAGCTGTAGAAGCACTCCGCTCACTGTGGACCGTTCCCCTGACAGTTCCCTGCCCAGAGTGATCCACCTCACCAACAAGAAAAATCTGAGAAGCACCGTTGCAGCCAATCAGTCCTCTTCTGGACAGAGCAGTCAAGAGTCGACCTCCACCAAAGCCAAAGCGACCGAGCAAGGTAGTAGCGTTGATGGCCAAGAAAAGGTCTTGGAAAACAACAAGCTTCCTGACCAAGAGAAGCCGGCCACTGCGCACATCCCATATCTCTCTCCTTACCATAGCTCTTCCTACAGGTACGCCAACATCCCGGCACACGCGCGGCATTATCAGAGCTACATGCAGTTAATTCAACAGAAATCGGCAGTGGAGTACGCTCAGAGTCAGCTCAGTTTGGTGAGCATGTGCAAGGAGTCTCAGAAGTGTTTGGAGCCCAAGATGGAGTGGAAGGTGAAGGTCAGGAGCGATGGGACCCGGTACATCACCAAGAGACCGGTGCGAGACCGGATTCTGAAGGAACGGGCCTTAAAGATCAAGGAGGAGCGGAGTGGCATGACCACAGATGATGACACCATGAGCGAGATGAAGATGGGGCGCTACTGGAGCAAAGAGGAGAGAAAGCAACACCTGGTCCGGGCCAAAGAGCAGCGTCGTCGCCGCGAGTTCATGATGCGGAGCCGCTTAGAGTGTCTCAAGGAGAGTCCGCAGAGCGGTAGCGAGGGCAAAAAGGAGATCAACATCATTGAACTCAGTCACAAAAAGATGATGAAAAAAAGAAACAAGAAAATCTTGGACAACTGGATGACCATCCAAGAACTGATGACCCATGGGGCCAAGTCTCCTGACGGCACGAGAGTTCACAATGCCTTCCTGTCGGTCACGACGGTGTGACTGTGTGCACACAACTGATCTTAAGAGGGTGCTACCGGTTTGGGTAGAGTATGATTGCCTCGTTCAATGTGGCATTTTTATATATATTTTGTGACTCTTTATAGTTTAAATTTTTTGTAAGCAAAAATACCTGGTAATTTTTTCATTTGTTTTCATATGCCGGTACCTTCTTTTGGGGCTGAGATCTTTCTTTACCTTGTGATATATTCATATTACTCATTTATAAATGAATTTTTTTAAAAAAGAAAACAAAACAAAAAGTTGAACAAAAATACTGAGGAGCCTATTAATTTCCTACATCAATATATCTGTCTATTGTAAGTTAAAATCTGGATTTCTCTAGTTTGCTTATTTTCTAACTTTAATAACAACTCATTGCCAAAACATTTCTATGCTTGTTTCTTGGCATAATATGTGCATATTAAATCAACCGTTAATAAATCACATGCCTCATCTTGTCTTACACAAAACACACCTCTCTTCAACACACCATTGTGCATTGAACACGTAAATGGCAGTTGTCTTCGTCTCAGTGGAGTGTAGGTAGACAATCTTCCTGTGATACGTAGTTGCATTGGTCATGTAGCTAGCTAACGGTGGTAATTGTGACAATAAAAGAGAAATAAATTATTGACATTGGTTATCCTGAAGAAAAGTTATCAAGGAGTGTTTCATTTTCATTGTCTGCTGCGATTAACAGATGTAAATTAGTTGCATATATGTAATATTTAGATGATTACTAATTGTACATTATAAAATGTGCACATTTTCTATTCCTCTTTTACTATAAATTTCTTCCTAAAAGATTTCTTCTAGATCATTGTACCACATATAGAAACCAGGATTAAATTTAATAACATATGTAACAGAGTGCTCCATGGCCCATAAATTTGAACTACACATTCAATAAATATTAGTGCATATTCCCTTGCCGGTTACCCATGAAAAAGTAAGCTAAACTACAACTGAAAGAAACAGTATAGGGAAAGGCCTGGAGAGCATGAGGTGTCCAAGATTAGAATATGGTTTCTGTCGTGTGACACTATGTGCATGTGTTCAGTTGACTGGAGATAAACTTTTTGCAGAATCCTCTTGCTTAATTTTCAGCCCAGTCAATTACAAAGCCTTATATGTCGGTTTAGTTAAAGGTGAGCTTGCTAGGTGTCAAGACAGTTTTTTTACATCTAGTTTTTCATCATAGAAACGTAACCACATCATATGTCCATCATAATGCCCTCCCAAGTGAATGTATTCAATCTCTTGGGCCAGATCATTGAACTGTTTCTGAAGCTATCTTCCTGTTTAAAAACCTATAGTGGCTCCTTATTAGCTCCTGACTCAGGCTCTGACACCCCAGCCTTACTTATAGTCCAGGCCCCCAGGTACCTGCCTGCCTTGGTGATTGCATTGCTTCTTTAGACCATCCCTGAGTTAGGTCCAGCCCATTAATCATCTGCACATTGATACTCAAAGTGCATATCACTCTCTTGTCTGGGGTTTCTGTGCCAGGCACTGAAAATCAGTTGCTATCAAATTGATTCCCACCCATGGAAACCTCAGGTGCTTCAGAATAGGTCTGGGCTCCATAGTGTTTTCGATGACTCATCTTTCAGAAGTAGAGTCCTTTCTTCTGAGGTACCTCTGGGTGGATTTGAACCCCCAACCTCTGGGTTAGTAGGTTTACACAGGAGTCCCTGTGTGGTACAGGCTTTGATCCCTCACGCAGAGTGTAATCACATCCCTGTTTCTCCTCTGGAGCCTATTTTGATGACACCTGGATTTTTCACTTATTTGGAAGCGTTCAGCTTTTCAGCACCTACACTGATACACCTGCAAAACTGTCTTACCTTGGAATTTGTCTTCTCCCCTTATTGAGTCACGCACGTGGAGGGTCTGGTTTCCCTCCACATCGCCAGTTCAGGGAGAGGGCTGGGGACAGCCTCTTTCTGTTCTAATAGAACATCACGTAGATAATGTATGTGAATGAATTAAATTATTTTATTCATTTACCTCTCTCCTCCACTTATTGCCCCTTTTGATATTATTTTTCTGACCTTTGCATTTTTCCCCAGTTCTTATCTTTTGGAGGGCTCTGGCATAGATTGAAAGCAACTAATTTTATTTACATAAAATAAAAAGCAGGCTAGGATAGTTTAAGATGGTGATAGTAATAGCACACTATGAAGAAGAAAAATTTCCACACTTTTAATTTAAATTTGTCAGCCCAATGCATACCACCACTCAATTTTGACTCTGGGATGAGCATGGTTTAAATAAGAATATGCCTGTAAATCTGAGGAGCCAGTTCTTTCCTGACTAATGGCCGTGATTGCTGTTCACCCCTGACACAACGTGTTCTAACTATTCATGGAATGACTCCTAGAGATGAACTCTATTTGAACCAACATTTTAAATGATTTCTAATATTTTATATCATCATGAGAGTAGACAGCTTCATCTCTCTCCCACGGAACTGCTGGTGAATTCGATCCGCTAACCTTGTAATTCACAGCTTAATGCGTAGCACACCAGACTACCCAGGCTCCTTAGCCAACATAGTTTTTTCAAAAGAAGCATGCACACACAGCTCACAGAATTATAGTGTTTTCAAAGTTATCAATTTAGTTTTATTTTCACTTCTAGCCAAGTGTGCTTGCCAATTTCTTTTTTTAAAAATGTGATGTTGGTGTTTTTCATGTCTGTGTTTATACAATTTTTACAAGTTGAAAAATGTCTTTTTCTTTCAAAAATATGAAGTGTAATGCTCTATCTTTCTACCTAACATATCTTTGTGCTAAACATGTTTTTTAAGTAAACGGATAATAAACCTGTTGCTCAGCAGCGAAAAACATGGTTATATGTGGGATATTTTATTTTTGTTCAGAAGAAAAATATGAATGCTGGGGGCGGGGAATATATTACTAGTGTTCACCTTTGAAATTCCATATCTATTATTGCTCTTTCATTCAAGGTGTGACAGAAATCGGTGCTCGGATCCATATGTGAGTGACTTAGAAGAAGACAAAACCATGTACCCTGGATGGGCGCTTCTTTGCTTCACGCTACAAAGAAGGCTATTGTTGTTGTCATCTTATTTTGTGCAGACTGTTCGTTACTTTACAGACAACTAGTGTGGGCGGCGTGGACTTCCCTCGCAGTTTTTCCCCCAGAATGCACTTGATTTGGCCTGTGTCCTGTTGTCATATCTATATTTTCTCCCTCGGGTCATTCTTTTTCTCCCTCTCACCAGTGGTGGCACAATTAGTGGCTTGCCTATTAATTGAGAGGTTGATGCTTTGAACCCACGCATTGCCTCCACAGGACAAAGACCTGGTCATCTATTCCTATGAAAGTACAGCCAAGAAAGCATTAGGGGCAATTCAACAATACTAGTGAGTTTCTGCTCTCTGCTTCAAATTCCTTGTGCCAGTGCTAATGCCTCTCTGTTCACCCAGTCTCTCGTGTTTTACCTCGGAGTCTTTATAAACTTCTCTTTTCCTTTGTCACACAACAAATGTTCTCCTCCTTCTCCTTCCAAAATATGTCATATTGTCTCCCAGTTCTCTTAGGTCATCTCAGTTAGGTTGTCGCTACCTCATGCCTCATTCCTTTTGACAGGTCTGTGGCTAGTCTCCCTGCTCCACCTTCCCAGTCTGCCTTTACCCAGCGGCCCCCTTGCCCTCCTCAATGTCCCTCCCCTCTCTGTCCTCAAAAACCTTCAGCAGTTTTCCCCTGAACTTTGGAAAAAAATCTGAATGCCTGAAAATTAGTATTCAAGGATATCCTTAGGATAATGTCAACATGACTTTTACACATGATTCACATGCGGGATTATCAATTCAGAGCATGAAAAACTTGCCATTTGGATAGGTAAATAAGTTGGTGGTCCTTCAACCGATATGCTTTGGTCGTCTATTAATTATTAAATGAATTTTCTACTAATAAGTTTGACCAAAGCAATATATTCATTGTTTAATTCATGTCTTCTTAAACAAGTGTTTAAGTTTTCAGTATGTTCCACTTATATGAAGGTTTTGCCTTTCATTAATCTTTCTTCATTATCTTCCAAAGGGTACAACATTGGAGCTATTAGTAAAGGATTTAGAAGTTAGATATACTAGTATTTATTTGGTATAAATCTTCATGATATCGCCTCACCAAATTGTGACTACAGGAAGCTACTGTCAAGAAAATCCCTCTCTAAGCACGGTCACCCAGGAGGAGAAGTTTGTACTTTCATTGTTGTTTTTCCACTCAAAACTGCTGCCTTCCTCAGCCTGGGTAGAAGCAGCTTATGCTGCTCTGGTTCTGGAAAGAGTCTGCTCTGTAGAACTGAATGAATGAGCACCGCACTGCTTATTGTTTGGAAGATAATTTTGTGCTAATTCTAGTAGCCCATTCTGCTTCTGCTTTGTTTGGACTGCACACTGACAGTTTTTCAAACCTGCCGTTCGCATCTCCAACACCACTCTCTGCCCCTAATGTTTGCTGTGTTAGATGCGAAACCTGCGTCCTTCCCCCTCTGTCCATTGCTCCTCCAGTGCCCATCTCACGCCTTCCCCTCTCGCCAGATTGCCCCCTCACTCTTGCTAACAGCAGAACATTTAATAGATGGTATTGCCGTAAGGCTCATTTGGCTTTGCACCCAATGATGTCTCATATTTTCTTCCATAATGTGTCTGTCATGAGTGTAGCATGCCGTGCAGTTAGGACCCATAGCCACATATGTCCTCCTGGCATTTCTTCTATGTTACCAAACAACAGCTGCTCAGAGTGTTGGCTGCCATGCATTTTTCACACATTCCAGCCAGCAGTGTTGTGTTGGAACACGCATTGCTCCCAGGCTCAGAAACCATCAGTAAATGAGGGTCATGTTTATGATTCAATGTTCTACCACGTTTTTAATTTATTAATATCACTACCTAGTCATTGCCTCCTACTTCCGCCTCTTGGTAGGTTTGTATTCTTAAGTAAGACTATTCCACCTGCCTACAACTCAGTACAGTGGAGATGATTATAGTTATTCAATGTTCTTTATAATTAGTTATGCATATGTATGTATCTCTGCTTTTCAAAAGTTCACCACTTTAAGCCTACATTAGCATTTATGTTTACTAGCGAAAAGAAATCCAAAAGGACTGTCATTTTTACGAGGAGTAAAGGTGGACTGGGGGCAGGCAGTGCTAAAAATGAAACCAGTATTCCTCATCAAGTTTGCAGCAAATTTAAAGAGGCAGGGCGCACTGTGAGCAGCAGCTCAGACCAAGCCACCAGAGCTTTGAACCACGTCCAAAAACACTGTATATATTCGTAGTAGTTTAGGTTTTTTGTGTTACTTGGTCTGATTTTGTAGTTGATTTGGGGGTGTAGAGGGTTTGGGGAATAGTAAAATGTTTCCATATAAATTAATAGTAATTGCTGCATGACGTTATGCCACCCCAGCCTATAAAAGTTTTCATAGGAACACGCTGCTTTTGAATAGCAAGAAACCTGGACATCCACACACATACAAAAGATGGCTCAAAGGGTTTGTGGAAATTTCAACTATCTTAATGTTATTTTTGATGAACCTCTTGAAGCCTCCCTTTGTGTGTGTGTGTGCATACCTGCACTGGTTCATAATTGGTGTGCATTAAATTCATATTGGGTCACAGGCATCTACTTAACAGATGCGGCGGTATTCTTAAAGCCGGATATTCTTATAGGAAGCCTAATCAGTGCTGTGGTGGTTTTGAACATGAAATTTCAGGAACTAAGACATTTACTCAAGTTGACATATCTCTTGGTGAAAGAAGTTGACTGGCTCGGTCAAGGCCTGTGGAACACAATGTCTACTGAACGTTGTAAGAAATCAGGCCTCCATGATGCGCTTCCTGGTGGTAGCAACAGTGTCTCTGTGTGACCACTGACTGTCGTCCTGCTTCGTTTTAAGAGGACAATGTAGATCAGAAAAACCCATAGGTTTTGAAGTGTACTGTGTGAGAGGGAAAGCACAAAGAAAGAGAGTTAAAAAGCAGCCAAGAGAAGGCCATATGTTGAAAGCCTGTGAATGTCCTGTGCTGGGTGCATTTCTTGTCTTAGAGAGATGAACTGTGTTCCCACAAAAGGAAATCCAACCGTAGAAAGCAGTGAATGCAGAGTAATAGAGGCAGCAAAGAGTATAGCGCGGGTTTCCTATGGATTGCCACCACATCTGAGAAACTTTCTCTAGCCTCACACCCTTGAATGATTCACCAAAAAGACAAAAACAAAACAAAAACCCATTGTCCTTAAGTCATATCAGCTTCGTAGTGACCCTGTAAGACACAGTGTACGGCCCCTTAGAGTTTCCAAGGTTATAAATCTTTCTGGAGGCAGACAGCTTCCTCTTTCTCCCACAGAGCAACAGGAAGGTTCAAACTGCAGACCTCGTTTAATTAGAAGCCCAATTCTTAAAACCACTGTGCTAGCAAAAAACCAAGAGATTATCAAATCTCTGACCTTGAGCATGTTGCATCCCTTCCTGTGACTTCCATTTCTTCCCCTGTCACATGAGGATATTGGAATAAATTATCTCCAAGGTCCCTGTCATTTCTAACACTTAGTAAGTCGGAAATAAATATGAATCATTTAATTGCAAAACTTCCTTTTTTGCAGCCATCCTACACGAAAATCTGAAAACCATTGAAAATTAAGTAGGCAACCCATTGGTTTAAAATAATATCTACGCCCCCTTCTATTACTAACTACTAGCCACATCACATATTTCTAAAAACTTTTTTCATATTAGTAAAGATTATAGCCTAAGAAACATTATGGGACTGTTTGGTTCTTTCATAGGAAAATTATATGATTTAAAAATCAACTCAAAAGATAAAAATTAAAGACATAGAAATAATTAGTCCACTGGGATAGACCTCACAAACATCAGTCTCTATGGCCCTGAAACCACAGGAACTAAATGGTCCATGGCTATTGCTACCAAATGCTCTGAAAGGAATCACATGGGAAGTTCTTGTATTTAATAGGTGAAAAGTGTGGAATAAAACTCAAAATCACAAATGAGACCAAACTTGTATATCCCTTAAGGAAACAAAATACAGCACACGCAAATATGTACATACCTATCTATGTTCAACACCAAACTATTCACAATAGCAAAAAGATGCCAGCAACCTAAATGCCCATCAGTGAGAATGGATAAGAAAACATCCTTATTTTCAACATACACACAATGGACTACTACTCAGCATTAACAATGTTACACTATGAGAGACCTCATGACGTGGAAGGATTTGGAGGAAATTATATGGAGCGAATTTAGTCAACCATGAAAGAATATTGTATGAGACCACTGATAATTCTTTTTAAATCAGGATAAAGGTTTTCATACAAGAAAAAAAAACAGACTTTGATACTTTGGGTTGGGAGGGGGAGAAAGGGAAGGGGAAGTAATAGGACAGAGGGTAGGCAGGTGTTGAATTTGGTGGAGAAGATAATATCCTACAAGAGGTGGAGGGCAATGGGGCATGCCATTGGGAGGTGCCCCAAGTTGTTTAAGTTACTGAATGTAAAACACGGTGTTCTGATATGTATCCCCTACCTAACTCATAATAAATATTTTAAAAGAAATGTGTAATCTTAAACAGCAGTATTATAAATCTAAATATATTTATTTCAATCAAAGATTAATAAAATGATTTTTAAAGGATTTGCAGCCACCGTGTCCCCATTCTGTCCTAAGGGGCTGCTGTAACGTTAACTGGACAACAGTAGGTAGCTTAAATCAATGGAAGGACATTCCATAATAGTGGATTTGTTGTTGTTGTAAGGTGCCCTGAGTTGGCTCCAATGCATAGCAGCCCTACATACAA